AAATTATATTTATTATTATATAATTATAGATTATGCTCTAAATGTTCTAAATGTTCTATATATTTACTATTCTAAATGTTCTATATATTTATATTTGAATATTCTATTGCTTTTATAATAATTGAAAAAATATCAGAATTGTAGTAGAGAAATATTGGAATTGATGGTAGAGGGATGTCAGAATTGTAATGAAGAAATGTCAGAATTGATGGTAAAGGAATGTTGGAATTAATAGTAGAGAAAAGTTGGAATTGTAGTGAAAAAATGTTGGAATTGATGGTAAAGAAATGTCAGAATTATAGTGAAGAAATGTCAGAATTGATGGTAAAGGAATATTGGAATTGTAATAGAGAAATGTCAGAATTAATGGTAGAGGAATGTCAAAATTAATAATAGAGAAATATTGAAGTGTGAGTTAAAAAAAACTGGAATATTAAATAAAAAAAATCAGAATAAAATAATAAATAAAAAAGTCAGAATAAAGTTGATATAATGAATAAACAAAGTCAGAATAAAGTTGATATAATAAATAAAAAAAGCCAGAATAATGAACAAAAAAAATCAAAATATTAAGTAAAAAAAGTCAAAATAATAAATAAAAATGAAGTAGTAGTAGGAAGACATTTGTCAGAGCCAAACTAATAGAAATATAACCTAAAAAAAAAAGCAAATGCTGCAAAAATCATTATTCAGATAAAACTGGCAATTTCTCTTACCTATTTTGCACATCCCTTTCCTTTATTGAATATTCTTCAGAAATGAGTTACAACTCTTTTATTACTACTATCATCTCTCCTAGTTTTCTCATTTCTTCCTCTTCTAGCTTCCTCATCCCTTCTATATTTCCGTCTAACCTTTGCTTTTTGAGACTTGTTTTTGGTCTCTAATAAAAAAGGAATAAATAAAAATTCAATAACTATTTAACTTACCTTCAGCTCTTCTTTTTTTAAAATAATATAGTTATCATCATCGTTGTTGTTGTTGTCATTATTATCACCATCTTCCAGTTCATTATCTGTTTGCTCTTCCAGTTTGTCTTCTTCCTATTCATCTTCTATTTCTTCTTTTCACTCATTATCATCTATTTTTGCTTTCAGATGATTTATAATAAAAAAATAACTAAAAATGGCACATTTATAAAATATCTTCAATCTCAATTATTTCCAGTTTTTTAGCGAATCTTGGTGTAGGTGTTGATGGTGTTGGTGTTGATGAACAACAGTTACTTCTTGGTGAAATGAAAGACAACCAGTTACTTTTTGACGATATTTTTTTTGGTGGTGATCAGGTGACTATTATGAAAGATGACGACGAACTGGTGATTTTTGATGGTGATATTTCAGCTCTTGCTGAACTTTCAGATTTTTTTGATATTGATACCACTGATCCTTCTTCTTCTTCTTCTTCTCCGTATATGATTATAAACCACGCTAATATCTCATCCATCAGTAACATAAGCAAATATTCGTTTAATTTTCTATTAAACATTCTAATAGTTTTTTACATATTGTTAAAGATCTGAACTCTGATGAAGATCTTCATGACTGAATTTTCATTGTTAGCGTGGTGAATCTTCATTAGAGCTGAATTTTTGACATTAGTGTGATGATGGTAATACTGCTTTTGGATTCTTTTTTGGTGATGGTGATAACTCCTTCTCTTTCATTTCTTTTACTTAATTTTTACATAGTTTGTCACACCAGTTACTACAAATCACTTTTAACATCTCATTTAATAGAAAGTTACCTTCTGAATGTGAAAAGATCAAATTATTCATTTTAAACTAAAAAAAGAATAAAAAAAATTAAAATAATTGAATATAATTTTTCTTGAATTTAATCACCTATTTATTACTTTCTTAATGACTTCTTCATGTTTGTCAGAATCTTGTCTGAACAACGGGAATCCAAGTTTGAACTGAGATTTTATTCATTTTCTTAATAAATTCTAAAAATAATAGTAATAACAAAATAAATAACGGAAAGCTTGAAAAGAAAATTTGAAAAAATACCCAGTAAGCTCCAAATTATTATTTATCCATGTTTAAAAATTCTGGTCACGTTATATTTTTATTCTCTTCTTTTGCTTCAACAAATTCTTTTTTATTGTACAGATTTAAACTTGAATCTTTCAGATACTAAAGTAAAAGTTTAATAATCTTTTAAATTGACAGAAAATACACGAAAGTCTTGTATATTTATTTACAATACCAATAAATGAAGTAGCCTGCATTAAGTTCAAATCTGAAAAACTGAGATGCTCATGCATTTGACATTTTTGTTCTGATGAGAAGGTGCTAAGCATAGTAGTATCATTTAAAAGTTGTAAAAATAGGGTTGCACGTTGTTGAACAGTCAAATTACGGATGTCAAAAGGTAAGTTACAGCTTGATATTTTGGAATTAAAGTAATTTGAGTGGTTAGTTTGAGTGATTGGTTTGAGTGGTTGGTTTGGGTGATTGGTTTGTGGTTGGTTTTTTGGTTGATTTGTGAAAAGCTTCTTTTCTAAAAAAAAGAAAGAAGGTAAAAATTATTTTTATAGCAATCCATATGCATCTGAAAAGATCAATTACGTCAGATTTTTTTCATATTTTGATAGCAAAGATCTGACGTGATTGATAAATATATCAACCACATTGAATTTTTACCTGATATTTGACTGATATATATCAATCATATAAACTATGTCAGATTTTTGCTATCAGAATATGAAAAAAATCTGACGTGTTAATAGATATATCAACCACGTCAGATTTTTACCTGATATTTGACTGATATATATCAATCACGTATATAAAAAAAATCTGATGTGTTAATAAATATATCAACTATATCAAATTTTTACCTGATATTTGGCTAATATATATCAAACACGTCAGATTTTTGCTATCAGAATTAGAGATGGCGCAGCAAGTATGTGATGCTTATTTGTTATTCGTTGCAACACGTTGCAACTTCAAAATTTTATAAGCTGTAACTAGTTGCAACTAGATGATGATTTATTTGTCACCACATTGCAACAGTTGTCACACCATCTTTAATCAGAATATGAAAAAAATTTGATATAATTAATATATATTAGTCAAATATCAGGTAAAAATCTGACATGGTTGATATATCTATTAACACATCAGATTTTTTTCATATTTTGATAGCAAAAATCTGATATGATTTACATAATTGATATATATCAGCCAAATATCAGGTAAAAATCTGACGTGGTTGATATATCTATTAACACATCAGATTTTTTTCATATCTGATGAAATATCAGAAAAAGATCCAGATATATTGCAGTGATCTGATTATTTAGCCAGATATATTGCAGTAATCTGCTGCATTTACCCAGATATATTAGATCATGACTTTTCTGGATCCCTATAATGTGTCAGATCACTGCAATATATCATGATAAATGATAAATATAATAAAAATGGTAAATTTCAGAAAGTATATATATATATTTATAATTGTAAATTGTGAAAAAAATTTAATTAACATTTTAAATTAGGCATTTCTAAAGTTATAAATAAAGGCAAGTTTTTTTATTTCCTTCTTTTACAAAAATATTCCTCATAATATTTACAAAAATATTCCTTCAACATAACTGATAAAATTCTTTGTTCCTGTGTTAATTGTCTGAAAGAAACAAATGATCAAGGCAAACTCATCACTCGTAAAACACATTCAATTCATATGAAAATTGAAAAAGAATATTCAGATCCAAATCATGTTCCGTTAATTGCTTTTATTCCAAATAATATGCCTATCTTCTCTGGTTTTTAATCAAAACCAAAAAAATATCAACTAACATTGAACAATTAACTGAAAGTTTAGAACCTATGAAAATTAAAGTCTCAGAACAATCAGCAAAAAGTTCGGAGTAACAGCACCTACCTGAAGATGATCTGGTAAATTCAGATGATAGGGATGACATTTCTCCTAAATTATCAGAAAAAGAATTAGAGAATGTACCTGAAGATAATCTGATAGATTCAGATGATGGGAATGACATTTCTCCTAAATTGTTAGAATTATTAGAAGGAGGATCAGAGGATGAATTTAATATAATGGAAGAAGGATCGGAGAAAGAATTTAGCCTACCAGAAGAAAGAAAGTATCCATCAGATCTTGATAACTTTGATTCAATTTTTTTATTTTCTTATTTATTTCTAAAAATTTTTCTTATAAAATCTTTTGTTCCCATTTTTACACAGAATTATTTGAAGAGATGATTAAAGATCTCCAGCTTCTCAAAATAAAAGATCAACATAATATTTCAGAGGCAACATTCAATGAGATATTGGAAGTAATGAAAATATCACGCATTACTCTGTACAAACTTCGGAAGTTTCTCAGAAAACAGATGCTGATCAAATCAAATCTTATTGACTGTTGTGTTAATTCCTGCATGGCATTTACTGAGGAGAATACTAATAAAGATCGGTGCTTCACATGTAATGAAGAATGATACAAAATTGGCAAAAATTGTCTGAAGATCAGAAAAAAGCTGCATATTGGTCAGTTATAAATTCGTTACAAATGCAATATAATGATAAGAAATGAGCACAACTTCTTTGATATCGAAACAAATATATAAACACTGATGAATATTCTGCTGAAAACAAAATTGGTGACATTTTTGATGATTTATGCTATAAAAATCTTACAAGAACCAGCTTTTTTATGAATTATCATGATGTAGCTCTATTGGGATTAATAGATGACTTTCAACTCTTTTGACAAAAATGGGATGACTGTTGGGTGATTCTTTTAATCAATGCAAATCTTCCACTAGAAATTCGTGTTAAATGGAAAACCTGATAATTGTTGCGATGTTTCTGGATTCTAAGGCTCCAAAGAACTTTAACTCATTTCTTAGATCATTGGTTAATGAACTGAAGCAATTGCAAGGTAAAAAAAAAACTTCTTTCTTCCAGATAATTTCTGCTTTCTAGCTAAATTTACAGTTTAAAAAGTTATTATCTGTGCTGATAATAACTTTCTGAACTGTAAATTCATATAAATTCTAATTTTTTTCTGAATGACAGATAGAGTTCAGTGCTATGATGCAAAAATTTTATAATACATGCACATATTCTGAGTTGATTCAGTAATCTTCCTGCTTTAGCAAAAGTGATGTACACCACTAAATACAATTCATATCAGGAATGTTACTTTTGTTACTTGTGAGAAATCTATTGTACAAATAATAAACACATATATTATTTATTATTGTCTCCAAAATGATTGACTAGTATCTGTTATACATCCAATATCTTGCTGAAAAGAACTCATCAAAGTTATCTTCAGAACATTGATATCATTGAAAATTCTGGATCAAAAGCTAATAGTACACAATTAATAAAGGATACTGATATAAATAATCAA